ACCCCCGGAGGGGCGTTTTTTGTTGTTTCGTTTTACATTTGAAACTCAAGTTTAAGTGCTTAAATGCCCCGCAAAATGCAGATTTTGTTAACCATATTTGTACCAAGTGTGAGGAATTTAAAGGAAATGCCCATTTATTTTTCAAAGTCCAGATTAACAATGAAATGCAATCAATCTCTGGTACCCCCCTACCCCACCGCCTCTGACCAGAGACCTATTTTGCTTGATACTGTCCCCTGTGCCCAAGGTCCCAGACCTTTTAGGTTCGAGCTTTTCTGGCTCAAAGACCCAATATTCAATTCCTCAGTCGGTGGTCCTATTTCACAATCTTTGGTGGGCAGGTTTAGGCTCCAAACAAGGATCCATCCCTGGTACCCATTCTGACTCCCTCACCACCTCTGACCACAGACCAATTTTGGACAATACTGTCCCCCGTGTCCAAGGTCCTAGACCTTTTAGGTTTGCGCTGTTCTCGCTCGAAGACCCAACATTTGATTCCCATATTCCCAGTTGGTGGTCCACTTTCACAACCTTGGATGGGCAGGTTTTAGGCTTCAAAAAAGGAACCGCTTGCTCAAAAACGCCATTAAAATTTGGAGTCATAGTAACCCTGCTAATTTCCCAGCCCTCAAAAAACTCTCTTCTACAAGCAATCAACAATAAGAATCAACTGGAAGGAACCAGATCTCTAACCAATGCCGAGCATTTAGTTCACAACAAATCCAAATCTGAGCCCTTGGACATGACGGTTTTCCCATGGCTTTCTTCTCTCACTTCTCAGACTTCCTATACCTTGATATTTCAACTTTTGTCCATGAATCCTACCACAGAGAAACCATCGGCAAAGAAATCATTTATCATCTCCATCCCTATGATAGACGGAATTGATGACCTCAAAGACTTCAGACCCATTAGCCTTCTCAACTCTTCCTATAAAATCCTCCCCAAGATCTTGGCTTCCAGACTTAGGATTGTCCTTGAAGAAGTTAATCTCGCAGAGTCAAAGTGGTTTCTTCTGAAACAGGCAAATTCTAGACGGGGTAGTAATCAGCACCACTCTAGAAAACCTGGCCTCATCCTCAGAAGCAACTGGGAAAAGGCCTACAACAATGTCAACTGGTTCATCCTTGATCTTCTCCTCAAGAAAATGGACTTTGGTCAAACATGGAACAAGTGGATTCATGGCTGCATTTCCACAACTTCCTTCTCTGTTCCCATCAATACATACCCCAAAGGTTATTTTTCCTCCTCTAGAGGGCTTTGTTTGGGAGGCCCTCTCTCCACTTTTCTTTTTTCCATCATCACTGAAATCTTCAGCATATCCATCTCTAGGATATACTAGAGGGTCACCTTGTCTGGCTTTAAACCCTCTAGGTTCGAAAAGGACATTTGTCATCTCCAATACTAATGACACCCTAGTTTTCCGAGATGCCATTTTTGAGCAAGTCAACAGCTTTGTAGCTGCTCCTTAGCTGTCTCGAATTGGTCAAATTAACATGTCCAAATCCAAGCTATTGGCAAACCATGCCCCTAAAGATCAACTTCCTCTTTTTGCCAACAGGCTAGGCCGTGGCCTTGACACTCTTCCTACCAAGTACCCAGCATTAGAAAACCTTTACATCGATCATCTTGGCTTGAACACTATGGTTGTGAAAAAAATAGGATTTCAAGCTCTAAAACTATAGTTATTGTAATAAATAATCTAGACCGTCCATTTCTCCCTAAAAATAAGAGTTCATAGATCCGCAAGATCTGTTACATTGTTTGAGTCTCATATCTCAATGTCGGTGTTGGAAATTGATTTTAGAGCCATTATGGAGATTTATGTTGCTGAAAGTGCTTTTTGGAAGAGGATTCGAGGTAAGGCTTTATTTTGTTTTCATAAAGCCTAGGCCTTATAGAAACCTCATCCTTTTTTAAATTGTATTTCAAAATTATTTCTACATGAAATTTGGGGGATAGATTTATTTTTTATCGGGCACCCCAAATAAATAATAATAACAAATTTCTTTTAAACAAAATAAAACCCCTCAAGCATCCACATCATGTGAATGCTATACAATCCCTAAAAAATAATAACAAATTTCTTTTGAACAAAATAAAACCCTTCAAGCGTCCACATCATGTGAATGCTATACAATCCCAAACAAGGCAAACTCCAATCATCAGAAACATTAACCAAAAGTTTCACCCATACGTAATGAATTATACAAATTGGTTGATCATAATATGATGGCAGAACAAATTGGGCATGTCTCATCACCAAGTGTGAGCTTGGATATAAGAAATAGCTACAGTAGTTACAAAACAATACAATAACCTGTACCAGGCAAATACATGTACTTCTGGTAAGACTACTCAAAGAAGTGATTCCATAAATTCAAATCTCAAAAAGATATTTGCACTCAAAAACTATCTTAAAGGACTATCTCTCAAGCAAAAAAGGCATAGACAGTTGCATGATAATGAAACCACAGCAGACCTGATAATGAGACCCAGAGAGGGAGAACCATCTTGAAGGATTTTCTCTCTCAAGCACAAAAGGCGTAGACAGTTGCAGGATAATGAGACCCACATAGGGACAACCATATTAAAGGATTTTGTCTCTTAAGCACGAAAGGCGTAGACAGTTGCATGATAATGAGACCCACATAGGGACAACCATATTAAAGGATTTTGTCTCTCAAGCACAAAAGGTATAGACAGTTGCATGATAATGAGACCTCAACAGACCTGATAATGAGACCCACAGAAGGATTTGATATGTTCCAGACAGAACACACACCACTGTCGGCTCCCTATCGTGTATACCATCCATTTTTCATAGACAGTTAGATAAAAGGAGAGACTATAAACATTTACATAATTGTATGACTCTCAAGCACAAAAGGTGTAGACAGTTGCATGATAATGAGACCACAACAGACCTGATAGTGAAACCTACAGAGGGAGTTGATAGTGTGCTCCAGACAGAAGACACACTACTGTGGGCTCCCTATCTTATACACCATCCATTTTTCATGGACAGTTAGATACAAGGAGAGGTTATAAATATTTAAATAATTGTATGACTTAAATGAAATCTTGACTCATAGGAGGATAGGAGAAGTTTCTATCATATTCATGATAGAAAAGGGAAGGGGGAACAGAGGAGAGAGAACCCATTGAAATTACCCCATGTGGCATGCTCTCTAACATCTCCCTAACCGTGCTAAGCTATAGCCCCTCCTCTCCTTCTCCCTACACTCTAAAAATAAAAAAGCAATTGCATGAGAACCTCCTTGTAATTCCCAAATAATTGATGCAGGGACCATGTTTCAGGGCATATCCTATACAAACATTTCAGTTCTTTCCTTTTTTTATCTGAAGTGATAAATGTTCGAAGAATTCTACAATTTTCTTTTCTATATAATTGCATATGTTAGGTATAGATCCATCTGCGAACTACTTTATAGAGATGTACACCATATTTGAGAACTATCCATAGAGAGTACGAAGCCGTGGCCCTGAGGGTGGAGCTGGATATTCAGCATTATCCTACCATCCAAGGCTATCAATACACATTATTCACAATGACCACCAATTGCACCACAAATCAGCCATTTAATCCCTGTCAATATAAGTTTAGGCGATGCAACTGTGCCATTCAATAATTGCCAATTATTGGCCTGAAAGCCTCTTCCAAAGACTACTACTGAACCCATGGGCACATGCAGAATTGGGAAGGCAGGGAATCGTTTCAGGGCTGCAGGTCAAGACTGCCCCTGATGTAGGTTGAGTTCCAACTTATTAGGGCCAGACTAAGAGGCATATTGCCATAATGTTTCTTTGGAATCATATTTTGGCGAGTATCATACAATTCAAAGGATGGCTTGAATGGGCTGCGTCAATACATACTGCTAATATGAGAACAATAATTCTAGACCAGGGTTAGTGTGGACAAGAGAGTCAAGTAGAAAGACAATCACACCATTACCTGACATTCAGTCTTTGGACATCCACACCCTCCAAAGACTCCAAAATTCAATTGCAAATAAATTGTCCTAAATTTGAATTTCAAGTAAATCGCCCCAAATATTGTATGTTTGTGGCAAACATTCTATATTGTATATGGGCCCCTTGCTTTCTCTCCAACTAATCAACATTGATCATACTACGTATATTGATTAGTCATCAACTAGATTTTAGGACTATTTTTTTGGTCCTAACCACACACTTGACAAGAAAAAAAGTTCAAGAAAATCACAACATAACAAATTAATCTAAAACTGACTAATGATGAGTTATTTTTTTAGGATAAACTAATATGAGAAATGTTCGAACAAAGAAATACATATCAACACAAAGAAATGGTAAAAACAAACGAAAATGCTATTACCCAGTATGAAATTTGGTTAATCATGAACAAGAAGCATAAAATACCAAAGGGCTTCATAAAGAATCAAATTGATTGCATTATATATAATTTTTTGTCGAAATGAAAATTTTCTATAATTTCTGGGGAAAATGAAAACTTTCAAAGGAAAACTAAAAAAACAGAAAAAAAATAAGCCTTGATCTGCTATTGTTGCTGACCTGCTAACAATCAATACATTCCATTTTTATCAAAGAAAACCAAAAAAAAAGATGGGAAAAGAATTTTCACCAATACTCCTAGTTGAGATAGAAAAACTTTTAAGGAACCCAAATAGAAAATAAAATACAAGATGGATCATGTTGACTGTTGATCAATTTGTGATGTTTATTTGCTAACCATCTAATTTATTAAATCAAATGAATGGTAAAGGGAAAAATAAATATGCTGTCACCTATTTACTATGGAAAAACAAATTTTTCAAAAAAAAAAAAGAAAATTGAGCAGGAAAAAGGACTTATAGATCAATACATGTCATCACACTAATAGATACTTCATCTATTTTCTCAAGAAAAAGAAAATAGATAGAGAGAGAGGCAAAATGGGTTCAAATTCTAGCTCTAGCTTAAGTAGTGAACTGAATATTCTACCAGTTAGTGCCTGTTTGAAACCATTATTAACCCAAAAATTTACTTACTCATTGAAGGATATAATTTGTAACTTTTTTGGTTAAGTTAAACAATATGGAGATATTTTTAGATATAAAGGACAATGACCAAAAGAAGTTTGATGGGATACCATATACAGTTTATAACGCAGACACCAGTGAACAGCATTCGATACTTACCAGCACATAGGGTAGATCCAACCACCATAAATAGTCTTCTTCATCGTCATCAGCATATTCCTTGTACTTACTAACCACAGCTTGAGGACCAAACATTTCACACTCTCGCTTGAGCTTCTCCACTTTCTTTTCAATATACCTCCTTTTCCTCTCGGGAATCCTACTCATTAGGTCAGCCACTTTCTTTACTTGTTCATCTGTGATCCATCTGTCCAGGTCTTTCCCCATATCCCTCATAACAGATTTGATCTCTGGATCTGTTTCTGCATTATATATTTCCAAGAATTCTTGGGACCATTTCTTGGTATGCTCCCAATACTCCTTCCCTGACTTTTTCCCAGCTCTGGTAGATCCATCACTGCCATGGATAACAGTCTTTGGAGTTATTGAACTTCCGTTTTGTGATAACTCTGATACGTCTAAGCCCTTCTGAGAAGATGGTTTTCCATTTTGTGACATTTCTGACTTTTTCATGTCATTCTGGGTATTGAGGTCTTGTGTTTTCTCTATCCCCAGCTTTCCAGATAAAGAACTCCTGATTTTATTGAAATCCTTGAGAAATTCAGGGTCTTTGTCTAGAACAGGTCCTTTCCAACGGGGTACAATTTTCTCAAGCGGGTCATCCAAACTGATCCCACCTGAAAATAAGGCAAAATACAAGTGTTCTAGTTGAGTGACAATCGCATGTCAGAGCCTTATAAATGTTCGTTTTATAGAATTTTCTATTGTAAATTTCACTACATTGTTAATCACTAAATTATGATTTATGATCACTTGACTTCTTTTATATATTAATAAGAATTCAAGATTGTGCCAAGCAATGTCTTGTACTTTCCTAAAATATAATCATTGACATTACAATTCATTGCTTGTTGTAGTTCTTAATTAGCAGTATTCCAGTAAATGAGTGTCTGACAATTCAACATTAAAGAATATACCATGCATGCAATCAGAGAACTACAATCAATTTAAAATTGAGTTTATTTTCTTCAGATAAGAATCTAATGGATCATGGTTGACTATCCAATACATCTTAAATGTAGAAATAACTAATTGCTGAAATTGTACTGCATGAGAAATTTATATATATGAAAATATAAATAAAAATATCTACTGCAAATGAACATCAGACAGAACAGCAAAAGAACAGAAGTGAGACTTAAGGGAACAGTAAAATTAATGGCAGAAAGGTTGTACATTAAGTTTAGGTGATATAGAAAGCATGTAATTTTGGTTAATTATGGGGAATCTACCAGGACTGCCATTTTCTACTAATCAATAATAATGAAAAGTGAAATCAGAAAGTTTGTTTTTGGAACCCCGGTCATGGTAACTGCAGTCTTTCCAGGGTTACTAAGGGTTTCTTGTTTGTTGTCATGATTCATGAATAAATTTAAATGCAGTCATAACAAAATAACTACAGACAATTTGATCACCAGTGACAATCAAAGAAAGAAATGATTATACTTGTAACATTAGCATGGGAACGACAACTTGAAGTCCTACAGGATTATGAATTAGGACATTGTGTAGCCATATGGATAAAGTTTGGCTCAAATTCAAATTGCCATAAACTTGACCAGAAAACAATCTCAGCTGAAATTTTATAAAATGTGACTTTTTAAATTCCAAATATATCATTATTGAGCCACCAGATGCTAATGAAAAAGTGGAGCAAAATGAAAATTACGAATGGTGTTTCCATAATACAGCCATTGATCAATCAATAGATCTATCCATCTAGAAAGAGAAGCTCGTAACCAACCAAAATGGAACGTACAAATATTTTACATTACAGTTTCCAATAACTTCCTTTTTTGCTTCCATAGGAAACTGCATGTCACCTAATAATAAAAAGATGCAGGGAAATTTTATCAATTAGAAAATAGAAGAGGAATATACTGAATAGAGAAATTTTGTAAACGTCTGATGTATCATGGTAACAAACACATACCTGCTCCGTAGTCCAGATTTTCAACCCTTGAATGCACCCATTCATGCAACCCCAACAATTTCTCATTCACTTTCTCAACTTTCTTCTCGAGACCCTCAAAGAATGCATGCTCATCCTCAGCACTCATCAAGTAAAATGGTTCCCTCCCTGCAATCTCATTTTGGCTAACTTGAAAGACAATTCTCCTAAGGTTATCATCCTTAATCCACTCCAGTTCCTCTTCCCCTTCCTCAAACCCAAGGTCCTTCATCTCAGAAGATAAACTCAACTCTTCCTGAACTTTATCTTTCGCCATCAAATAGTTCTGTCTAAAACCAACACCGATTCTTTTTATAATAGGATCAAACTTTTCATCAAAGTTTCTCTCCATCCAAATTTCATTAGCTTTATAAGGTTTTGCCTCTAAGCTTTCATTAGATTGAAGAGGTTTTGCCTCTAAGATTTCATTGGATTGACAAGGTTTTACCTCTAGACTCTCATTGGCTTCAGGTTTTGCCTCCAAAGCTCCATCAAGGTTGTTGATGGCTGGAGATGAAGGCACATTGCCCAAACAAGAACTACCCTGCTCCTCATACTTTTCATGAACATCACTTTTATGTTTCAATGTGTTACTCAAATCTGCAGGTGATCTCAAATCACCATGGGTATGATTCCTATTGGAACCATCACGAGCAGCATACCCATTAGACTTATCTACACTCAAAGCAAAATCTTCAGGACTATCAATCCCAGTTCCAGAATGCGTTTCCGGCTCCATGATTGAACTCTTAACAGCTTCTGAGTTTACAATATCATCACCATGGTATCCAGAAAGGTTTGCCCAACGTTCGTCTGTGTCATTCTTCTGGAATGGCCTTGCTACTGATGGTTTAGTTTTGACAGTTTTATCGCTGAATACTTCCTTAATTGGTTTATCACCTTTCTGAGAAAGGTACTCAGTAGCTTCTTCAACTGATGTTATGATCCTTGGCTTCAATCTACTTGGGGTTCCACTTGAACAAGGTAAAGAAACATGAGTCACATCAGAAGCCTGTTTCTCTGCATTCATTTCCAAAGAACTACTTACCAGCTCTCTCTCATCCTCCTTTAAGAAATCAACATTCTCTGCTTTGTCATTGTATAATATAATTCTCTCCCTCGTTAAACCATCTAAAGTAAGAGGCTCAGTGTTATCATGTACATTATCATTCTTATCAATGTCTCCCTTACTCAAAAGTCTTGAATCACCTATTCTTGCATCTTCAACAGTGGAAACTTTGGAGACACCATTAATGGCTGGGGTCATCTCTCGATGAACTGATTCATCCAAAGAAGGAATATCTGGAAAACGCACACCCTCTTCTTCATTCTTACTTATCTCCCCAAACCCTTCCCTATTTCTGGTGTTATCAACCTTGTCATGGTCCGTATAATTTACCACGAGAACTGGATTTCCATCACTGGTGCTCTCAGGAACATTTTTCTCACTCACTTTAGCAACTCTATCAAAATTTGCATCATGATTCACAGGCTGGGAAGTGTCTTGTTGCTCAATTAACCGAGCTTGTCTCGCCATTGCTTGAATTTCCGTAATTTTATCATGAAAACCAACTTTTCCAGCAGGAACATTAATAGCAGAAGAAGCAGATAACGATGAACTCTGCTGTGAAGCTTTTGCATTTGAAATGGTTCGCAAAAGGTCTTCTTTATCAATTTGAGGTCTCACAGTGGATACCACAGGGTCCGGAACATCAACCAAAACTTCCACACTTTTTCTCTCCATTTCCATTTTCTCTCTCTGTATTCGGGACTTGAGTTTTCGCTTTAACATCCTTTTCTCATTTGTGGTCAGTTCCTTTTCAGAATCTTCAGATATAAACAGTTTCTTTACCTCCCAGAAAACAAAAGAGATAATGATCACAGTAAACCCAATGAATGAAAGCTTGGAGAGAGAGTGGCCCTTTTTAATAATATCCCCAGATCGATGCCCCGTCAAGTGGGAATTCCTATCATCTTGAATTACAAAACGAGCTATTGAACTATTTCGAGGAAGCTTATAAGACCCAGCTTCAATCTCTCTGGCAAGGAGCTTTGCATGGGATATCTTTTTATCCACGTTTGAAATGTCTTCTCCAACGCTTCTATCAATAACCTCATCCTCATTAACTGAAACCCTTTCCACATTTCCATCCAAATCTTCATAAATAGTGAAAATTGTACCAGACCCAGGACCCCAATACTCTGATTTCTTCCTTAATTGAGAAACCCAGTCATCCAATTCCTTTTGAAAATCGGACCTATCCGAATAAAGCGTCTCTTCTCCACTGTAAAATCCATATGAATCTAAATTACTGCTAAAATTACTAATCTCTTTGTTATTTCCAGAATCTATATCTGAATTTAAACTCGAATTCTCATCAAAAGTTTGTTTGGGGCTTTGTAGAGGAAAACCAGAACGAATTGAATCCAAATCATTCACCTTTTCTTCTTTGATGAGCTTCTTCCGCAGAGAATTACGCCTTCTTGGATTTTTTCGGAAAGAAGCAGAGATGCATTGGTGGCCACATGAATGTGCTCTTCTCTGCCATTCGAATGGGGTTGAAAGCGTGAGGAGAACACTACTTTGAAGAAAAAACGGACTGCGAGAGTCACTAGAAGTTGATGGGTTTTTCCTGGAGAAGCTTCTAAGGCATGAAATTGATCTAATTATGGGAGTTTTAGGGAAGAACTTGATGTTGCAGAGAGATGGGATGCTAAGAACCTCCATTTGAAGGAGACCCAATTCAGAGGAAGAATTGAAGAGCGAGGAAAGAAGCGTTTAGAAAGTGAAATTGCAAGTATTAGGCACCATATCCCTCTGTCTAGAAAATGAAATTGCAGGTAATATGTCCCTCACTGTCGCTCCTCGCTGTCTCGACTGAAATTTCAAAACCTCTGATAAACCCTAAAGTGGACCGGAACGTCTCGTAAATCACGAGTTACAAGGTACTACTAGCGTACTCCAGCGGGAGCATGCTATGTGCTCCTTGCCGTTACCAAAAAGGTTTATATATATCAACTGGACCCAAAGTATATGTATCCCGCAGCTTACCCTTATTTAGAAATAAATATATTTTTTCGAAATAAAAAATCTTTATTTTTGATATTTTAATGCCTAATTTCTTTTCTTTTTCTGTTTTTTATAAAATAATCCGTAGAGAGCATCTTGTTAGCTTTTTAATATGTTTCAAAATGGTGCCCGAAACCACGATTTGGGCACGGTACTTGGCCTTGGGCTCGGGCTGGACCGAGTGAGTATTCATGATCAAAACACTTTTCAATCTTTGTTAAAATGATGGACAATATAAAAAAACACATTACAAATAAATTTCTTATCTTTTTGAATATTTAATGTTTTTAAATTTTCTTTTAAGAAAGATCATGAGCTTTGCCCCAGTCGACGGGTTAGAGGAACTTTGTCGGCTCCGGGTCCAACCGCCCGTTTTTTCAAACAACTTTGAACTTTGAAAGGAACTCCATGTTATTACTTTTTCTCTGCCAATCTGCTTGGATTTTATGATCCTTCTGGACCATGACTTTCTTCCTGTTTTTCTGGCGGTTACTTTTTCGTACTTATTGATGCCACGTGACTTTCACACGGTACTCAATCCTTCTAACCCGGACACGTGCTTTGGCTATGCGATTTACATAATTTTGTTTTACTATATTTAAGAAATTATCTTATTCATTAAGAAAAGTTTTAGTAATTCATATTATTAATTCAACAACTTTATGTAAGTTATTTGATATAAAAAATATAAAATATGTCTAAATTTTTTTATTAAGGAATGCACAATGTGAAACTAAAATTAAAAGTTAACATGTGTTAAATTATATGATCATAAAAGTCCAGGTGTCTTATAGCCAGCAGAATGGTATGTATTCTCATCTGTCTCTTAATTATCATATAACCTAGAACCTTCATGTGATGACAACCCATAACCTTTTAATACCTTATTATAATTTTCTGATCAAAATAAAATTTTATTTATATAAAAATTTAAAACTAATTTGATTTATATCATCATCATCATAGCTTTTTTTCAATTATTTGAGGTCGGCTACATGAATCTTGTTCTGTCAGTCTACTCTATTAAATGTCATACCCTCTGTTATGCCATAAATCGTCATATCTTTTCGGACTACTTCTTACCACCTCTTTTTGGGTCTACTCCGAGCCCTTTTCAATCCTTTCACTTGAACTAATTCGCACCTCCTAATATGTGTTGTACTGGGTCAGTGCCATAAACTAATATTTTTATTAATTAAGTTACAATTATATAGGCAAATGCATGCATGAGTGCATCGAAAGATTGATTTTAGGACAGTAATAAATCATTTTAAGAGTATACCAGTTTTTGTCAAAAAATAATAATTTTATCTCCAAAGATGCATATGCATGAAAGAAGAACAACCTATTACTGAATAGAGGAAGCACAATCTTTTGAGAAAGGGTGATTTAAATAAATGATTATGCAAATGTAGATGCAAGTTGATATACGCATTAAGGCTAAGAGAAAACAATAGTTTGTGGCTTTTTCCACTTATATATAAAAGGGTAACTAGTCTTGAAATATAGTCATATGGTATTAGAGCCAAGTAGATTGCTATGTTAAGAAATTATTAGAATGGAATAAGTTGGAAAAGCCCATACCTAAATTCTCATCGCTATGTCTATCTTAGACTCTATCTCTCCCTCCGAACTCTCTAATTTTTACATTTAATATTTTATGTTTTGTGACTATCTAATGGCAATTGAACAATAAACGATCAACGTACTAAAATCAGGTTTTGATATAGGTGAAACTCAATCTCATTACTTATTTCTCTCTAAATTACATTGAGAGAGGATTAATATATATTCTTTGGAGCTATTTATACTATTTGGTACTTTGATTACAAGATAAATGTGATGCCATTCTCATTAGTTTGTGAAGATCAAAGCAAGCAAGTGCGCTCTTTGCAAGGGTGATTATAAAACTCAATCTCATTCATCAAGATACAAGATTAATCATTTTAATGATAAAGATGATTACCAAAAAGCAATCCTATTTGTCAAGAAACAATATTAATGATTTTAATGCTTAAACTGATAAAGCGTCATTTTTTCGAAATAAGTTCAGATAAATTAAAAAACTGTTAGAGGAGCCTGTAGATTGAATAGATATAATTCAGTTTTTGGGGGGTCAAATCTAAATTATTAACAACACAAATTATGATATAAAGTACACGTGAGGAAGACGTGCTCTTTTAAATACTATTTAGATGTTGCTATTTTTTTTTCATGCCTAAGGAATTATTTGATGCATTCATAGATGCCAAAGCAAATGAGAAAAGTCTTAAACAATTTTTTTCATTCAATCAGGAATTTTACCTAGGTTTATTTGAAATAAATTATGCCTTACATTTTTTATAAATAATATGTTGAATCTTGAAAGGTCCCACTGATTTAGATCCAAAAAAATCTTCTTATGCTCCTGCAGGTGCATAGCATACACAATAATATATAATATAATACTTTACTGAGGGTGAAAAATAGCATAGTACGCGTTTGTGGGATCACATTATGTACTCAACCTCAGATATAAGTTCCACTGACATATTTTTTCTCGGTCTAAAATTTATAGATTCACTTAAAAAAACCAAATAATATTTTTTAAAAAAAGAAAAATTGAAATTTAAGTTTCCAAATTCATAATTTTTATCACCAATTTTTTTTTTTTTGGGGCCAAATAACCATCTGATGATGCTTTTACTTACCTCCTCAAATATGTAGCAGTACGTTTTTTTATTTTAAATTTTGGGATCCACCTAAAAAATAATCAAATGAGTATTTTTAAGGAAAAATGGATTATGAGTTTCTAAATAATTAGATTTGATCGGCCCAATTTTTCCACAAAATACTCATCTGGTAAATTAGAAATAGATCTCCAAATTTTAGTTCCAAAAACAATTCCTTTCACCAAAAAAATCCAATATTACTATATTTTTTATTATATTATATAATGAATAAGGTTAAATATGTTGGTATATTAGGTATGTGTGTCTAAATATATATATATATAGTAATGGTCCTATGACACCCTTCCACACCCATGTGTGTACGATCCAAAGGATCACCATTAAATTTGGCACATAACTCTAAAAAAATCAAATATCACATCCATGTGATAACTTTTTTAGATATCTATGCCAAATTTAATGGTGATCCTTCGGGTCCTACACACAATTATATATATATATATATATATATATATATTATGGTATCATATATTATACATTATATAAAATATATTGTATAATATTTTACTATTACAGTATTACCTAATATCCTTTATAAAATATAGTATATTCAGTATGGAAAACGTTTATGTAGAGCGGAGGCTCTAAACAATCAAATTAGAGGTCACCTCTAAAACTTTACTAGAAATTTTGTTTTGATGCCCAAATATCTTCAAATTGATCATCTCAACATCAAGATGCATGAACATGAGAAAAAAAGGATTTCAAGTTTTGGAAATAGTGCATCTCTTAATGCATTTTTTGACCGTCAAATTTCAAGTTTTTATAGATCTACTCAATCTACTCTATTTTTTAAGCTTTAAATTTTATAAATAAATATAAAATTAAATTTTAAGGCTATCACAAAGATTTCTATTATTGAAACCACATTTCTTGATACTATTTGAAGATAGGCTTTAATTTGATTGTTTAGAGCTCTATACAAACCACACCCCAGTAAGTATTACAGTACATATGATATTATATTTATAATATAATATAATAATATTTTTTTCTTGTAAGACGTTTTCAAAACCCTTCCTAAGAATTTGTTTGGAATTTATATCACTATCGTTTTAAAGTTTCGTTACTGGACTTAGCCTCCACCACCACTTGGTTAATAGGGATTCATTAAGTGCTCTCGATTTCTAATCCACTTTATGTTTTAGGGAAGCAAATGGCATTCCAATAGCCAGCTTAAATTTCTTATTTTCGTTTGACTACTCTAGAGAAAATTTTTCATCAAGGCTTGTGTCACTTCCAGGCAGGCTGGGGATCTGAATAATCAGAAGTAGTACAGCGGAAGATTTAAAAGAGTATCTTTGATCAAAGTAATTCTTCACCCAAAGGATTAACCACCACTTGATTAATAGACATTCATTAACTGCTCCTCAAATTCTGAATGCCAAATCCATCTTCTATGGAGGTGGATGACATTCCAACTTATCTTCTTAAATTCTTATTTTCCTATGAGCCACTCTAGAGAGAATTTTTCATCAAGGCTTCGAATCACTTCACTAAGAAAGCGGGGCTCTGGATAATGAAATGTAATATACCGGAAGTTTAGAAGGGGTATCTTTGATAAGAGTAATTCTCCCCCTCAAAAAATGGATATCGATTTTTCCAACCGCCGGAACCGAGCTTTATATATGTGCCCTATTCAAAATTCATCTTCAACTTCCATCAGCTCCATTTGGTCTTTTGTCACAAATAAGTGCCATACTGCAACTGTCATTGCGATTGTGACCCAAAAATTCTCTCAACTTTGAGACTTTCCAAACCAATTTTCATAAAATTTGAACCAAAACGAAGCCCATCCCACCCCAGAGTTATCTAAGGGCAAACCTACACAGTACTGTGCCATGCATGGTTGCATCGGCCAGGAATCCGCCTCGTGGCAAAATTCTATCTTGAATCTTCTACGTCAAGGGCACTAACATCTTGAAGATAGCGAAAGCATCTTGTGCCTCAATATAATGCAGATTGCAGATAATTAAATCCTACTCAGGAGTTGGACATTGCATTGATTGTGTTGACTTCAGTTAAGCCATTTTAGACATTGATGGTGCAGTCTAAATCCTAGTTGATTTTCCCGTCAATTAGTGTTGTTTTGACCATGGTTAACTAATAACAACTATTAAGGTCATGGACCCTGAAACCAACACTTTTTTTCTCTTTTTAGTGATTGTATTTACCCATCCCAAATATACATACTACAACATATATTTTTCATATTAACCTGATAAATAAGATATACTTTCTTTTCACAGTTGTAATCTAGGTGGGAAAGGGCATGGCCTCCAGAGTTTTAGGCCTTTAAATACCTTAAAGAAAAGGGTTGAGTTGCGGTGATAGCACCACATATCTAGTTACTACGTTATGGTTTTCAATCCTACTGACATCACTCATTGACACTTTTAAAAAAGTTAACTTCCTGATCTATATGTCATTGACACCTTTAAAAAAGTTAACTCCCTGATCTATATGTCATTGACACCTTTAAAAAAGTTAACTCCCTGATCTATATGAAAAACAGGTAGGCACATATCTTCCCAGTGAAATACCCAAAAAAAACAAAAAAACTTAAAAGCATGATCACCAAACACTCCAAATTCTAGAAAAATGAGACGGCGCACATATTTTTGGTGAGGCTCCGGCCACACAAGTACTTGGCCTTCTACGGATTGAAGCGAAGGGAGGTGTGAAAGTTGCTGCCTTGCCTCTTTTTTGCCCTTTTCCTCTTTATATATATATATATATTTTTCTTCTTTTGGCTAGGTCTTTTCCTCATCCACGTGTTGTTTTAATTCCTTCTTCTTTTTTTTTGGAATGTTTTGGATGCTCGTTATTTTAATTTCGGAGTAGTTGTTTTTGCTTGCATAATTCGTCGATTGTTTTAGTTTTTTGTATTTTGATTATATCAGCTTTATTTATATAAGTTTGTGATGGATTTCTTTGATTCTAATTCTTGTGGTTGTATTTATTTACAAGGAAAAACTCTACTAAGAGTCCAAAAGAAATAAAAACAAAAGGAAAAGAAACTCAAATTCCTCCCCCATCAGATACTTCACCTTTATTAAAGAGTGAATTCCTCCCCCATCGGATACTTCACCTTTATTAAAGAGTGAGCCCAAAGAAGTGGTGGAGGCTTTTTCCCTTTCTCTTGTTATTTTAATTTCATTGGATTAGTTGCTTTTGCCTACTTAATTTTTACACTGATTTTAATATTTGTAGTTTGATTTTATTTACATACGTCATGCATTTCAGTAAGTGGCTTTCATTCATTTAACTCTTGTGGTTGGATTTATTTCAGGAAAAACGTTAGCTAGAGATAAAAATAATTGAAAATAAAAGGACCAGAAATTCAAATTGAACACCAATTTGAGTTTATCCTTGCACGCATTAGCCAGTATTTGATACAAGAAGTCGAAAAAAATCAATTCAAAAACCACCTAAATTCAATACCACTATTGGGTTAACTCCAGCAGAGACTCAGCAAAACTTCAAAGTTCAAACCAAACTCTAGCACCCAAATAGTCCACAGATTATTAGTTAGCATAACCCATAAACAAACCACAATTAGCCAGGTAAAGTACATGCAAATCGCTTTAAATTAAACCATACATCACAAACGTACAGCCTCTGATACAAGAAACTTCTTCCTGTTCAAACCCATTACTCTTACAAACAATCGCGCCCCGAATAACACACTTTTATTTTTCCTATAAAAGAAAACCAAGAGACTATGAGAGAGATTACTAACCCACCAGTGTAAGACATAAACCCAAGTACATTCACTTCAAATAACCCACCCAAATCTACAAACCCAACAAAAGAGTCATCAACAAATCTAACTTACAGGCACACAGACACATCAAACCTTTGCCCGATTTCTTTCTTGAGTTTTCCTTTTTATGGGAGGCTAAGTGAGATTGCATGGTTCAGCTACACAAGTTGGGTATGCATGCACCAGGGTCTGTATTTTGTTGTTCCTTCCAAATCCGACCTGTGACCCTTAGCTTGAGCTCTTTACGATCACCTCCTGAAAAGAACAGAGCCATGTTTCTTTGGATTATGAGGCCATCATGGCTATCTCGAACCTTTCGATGGCTATCACGAATGCTTCGAGGGACCCCTTCCCATATGAGCTTGCGGCCATTGGCCCCTACCTCAAGGCTATAGGTGAAGTTTCTGGCCTCATTGTCATCTCCCATGAAGCGGAGGAAGGCCATGTACACAGGTGCCATCCCAAGCAGAAAGGCCTCAAAGTGTAGACAGAAGTACTGACCATAACAGTGGAATACCTGAAAGAGGCGAGAGAAGGGTCATTAAGATGAACGACAGAGAGAGGAGCTTATTAGCAAGAGGAAGTTCTATGATTGAATTGGATACAAGGAAAGAAATAAGTAAATTATTGCGTACACACAAGAGAAAGCGAGAGATGGGAGGGGGAAGAGAGAGAGATGGGAGGGGGTAGTACGTAGATATATGTAAGGAGCTGATTAGGTACATAAACATTGGATAGAAGGAAAGAAATCAGCTCAGTAGTCATACTACTTCTTATACCCCCTCTCTCTCTCTAGACTGAAGCCATGATATCATCATTCTCAGCGGATTAAGAGTTTTGGGTTGTCCACATTCTTGCAGAAAACAAATGTATTCAATGATTCACACTAAGTGACTCATAGTAGAGCCTCATCAACATAAACAACAAATCAACTACACATATCTTTGCATGTTCTTTACAGGAAAATTGGGCTCGCTCTCACCGCTCCATGTTGCAATGATAAAGACCCTCTTATTGATCTATGGTCAAATTCAAGACATAGCATGTTAAAAAAGTGTGAGAAAACGGATGAATGAGTGGCAATACTTGTCATGTGTAAATTATGGACGTAATATGTGATTGGGGACCACCAAAACATTGAAATATGCATTTATCCATGTATGTTGCATGTATGTATACTCCAGATATAACCTACTAGGCTTAGTTCTAGTGGTAAACATCTTGTTTGCATGAGGAGGTCAAGGGTTTGAACATTGAAGTTCGTAGCAAGAAAAACCACTATAACCCATCCTTCCTGTATACAAGCATATGGTGTTTGTGAAAATATACATGCATATGCAGCATTTGTGTGTTGATATAGCATCTGGTTGAATCTATAATGGCATGGATTCATGAGAAGTGAGAAGCAATACTTAAATACATGAGGCATCTAGCATCGATACTGTAGCATGGTGGTGGGACATGAATGCATAAGCGGCAATGCTTACAGTGAGCATCCATGTCGCATTCTCAACCTCTCGGGGATTGGACTTCACATAGCGATGGTTGAAAGTTGCACCAGAGTGCATGTCCACCTTGTGGTCATCCCTCAGATGAGCAACAAGGGTAGGTATATCCCCCGTGACCGAGCACTCAGAGCCTGCATAAGGGCAGGTATAAGGCCTGAAGCTACACTGTACCTCATGCTTGAGCTTGCTGTAATAAGGGAATATGCCTGGGCACCCATGAATGTAGTTCCTGCAAGGGAGCTCCAGAGACTCGGCCACCTTCTCTAAAGCCAAGCACCTGATGTCCCCTAGCTCTTGCCGGCATGTGGGACATCGGTTGTGCACTCTAGCTTTACACGTGGAACAAAGCGTGTGTCCATTGCTACACTGGAAGAAAGCCACCAAGCCATGAATATTAGAATGAGAACATGAATAGTGAGAATGTGGAAAGAATAGTTTCTCATTTAAGGCACAGCCATAAACAAATATTATGTATATTATCAATAGCCATGTCGCATATTTGATTCACATGTCAGATAAATTGACATGCTGGGATGCACTATAACACAAACAGTTATGTTTATTAGTTCCTATATGCATGTAATATAAGGATTACAAAAATGCATGCATGTACAAAAATAATGAATACATGTATGTCTGTCTTTCATATGCATGCTTGGACGTATGTCTCACAATTCGTGCCCATCACAGTATACACAAGGATAACTACATGTGTTCTGGCAGCCAAGAAGAGACATATAAACAATTTTTTTTTTTTTGATAATGCATATAAACAATTATTTGTGTGTGTATATATGTACTTGTGTCTACGTATTGCACAGAAACAATAATGCATAGACCAGGAAGAATAAAATGCATGCAGATATTAATCACATATGCAAAATCAGGAAAGAATGTCCACTTCTTTGGTTTCATCCTTTGTCATTTTAGGATTTCTTATTGCTTGTTATACCCTTGTGCTCTCTATGGGTTGCCTTTCCTTCCTATACAATTTTTTTTTTTTTAAACTGTTGTCTATGCAAAAATTTGCTTGCATTTTTTGTCTTTTTTCCAACTTGCATGTTTTAGCTTTTTATCACATTTTCTGACCAATTTGTGTTTATTTGTTCTTTATGCTTTTTGTTTGTTTGTGTTTTACACTTTATATTGCATGACTACTTTTTTTTTGCACCCTCTCTCCCACAAGACACACCATCCCACTCCCCCCCCCCCCACTCCTCCTCCTCCTCCTCCTCCTCCTCCTCCTCTTCCTTTCTCTCTTTATCACACATAATTTTCCTTGATCTTTCCCAATAAAAGGCAGATGATAATGTCAAAACACACCAAAGAAATGAAAAAGTTTACATAGAACCAAGGCTCTAAACAGTCAAATTAGAGCCCACCTCAAAAATTTCAATACAAGCGGTTGTTTTGATGCCCAAATATCCTCAAATTGATCATCTCAACGTCAAGATGCATGGACATGAGAAAAAAAAATAGATTTCAAGTTTTGGAAATAGTCTATCTTGTAATGCAATTTTGGCCCGTCAAATTTCAAGATTTTCAAGTTTTCATAGCTCTGCTCATTCTACACTATTTTTGAAGATTTAAATTTTATAATTAAAGATGAAATATATTTTAAGTCTGCCAATGATTTTCAGTATTGAAACCATATTTCTCGACACTATTTGAAGGTGCACTTTACTTTGATTGTTTAGAACCTCGGCTCTATACAAACTGCAGCCCCTAAGAAATGAACTATTTAACATTTTATCCACATCTAATTTCAAAATAGCTAACCAAAAGACAGATGATCATGTGTTGGAATAATTGATAAATGGGTAAAATGTTAAATAGTTGATCAATGTTAAAACAGTTGATACTTCAGGTGTATTTTTATAAATTTCCCAAAATTATATCGGAGGTCCACGTGTCCATATTCGCAAGAAGGCATACAGCCAAAGTTCTAGCCTGGCACCTGTTGGTAAGATGGACTAAGAATTTTCATGAAAAATTTAAGTTTAAAGCCTTGAATGAGTTTACTGCAGCAGCTCAACACAATTTGGTTCATATCAAGGAAGTTAAGGCTAAGCTGAAACATGGAAAAATAAAATAAATAAATAAATCATGTTCTTCTGGATCACTGCATTGTGCAATGGCAGCAAAGAAAAGAAATACGACATAATGAAGCCATCACATTGTGCTATTCTCATAATAAATTAAACAGAAAAGGAATTTAATGTGTGTAGGTTCAGCCTTCTATTAGTTTTCAGATGTATGTCACAGCCTCTAGAGAAGAGTACATTGCAGTATAGGGCTAAGGTACATCCTAATAAAAAGGATAAGGTCAACTCGAACTTATGAGGAGAGTAAGTTTGGAGGACATATACAGCAATAGAGCAGCAGTATGGGGAAGTATGGATCGGCTGGGTCGTCAAAAAGAAGCACGAGTAGTAATGGAACGGTCCTTAGGGGGGTTATCTTGAGGCGCACTGCATTTGTTTTTAGGGGGGAGAGAGGAGAGGAAGAGAGAAAAGGGGGGGGGAGGGGGAATATGCTCCTAGTTTGTTTAGAAGTATGAGCTTCAAGGGAAGTGGGGGAGGCTGGGGTGGGGCGGGGCAGAAGCAAATGCTAGACCTTGGCCAACTCAAGTCACTCAGCCACTCAATCCACCAATCCCACGCAGCTTTCTCAAGATCGAATTGTCCTTGACCTTTCTAAGCCTTCATCAGAGCATAATGAGCACCCCAACGAGCTACAGCAGAACAATAAGGAAGTGTGTGAAAAGGTGATAGTAAAGTAGTTTTATGATATTGTGATCCCCTTAACACAACCAACAACTAGTATTACACACCTATGACCTCGACCGTTGCCAATGAAGTGCCTGGAAGCAAGCCCTTCCCTATGCATGAACTTAGTGGCCCTGCTTAAGTGAGAAGGTGACTGAGGTGGACCAGTTCAATGATTAGTACAAGCATATGTGGAAGAGAAAATGGGTCATAATCATGTCTAATGGCTGGAAAGATAAAAAGGAAAGAACTTTGCTTAATTTCTTAGTGCATTGCCCACATGGGATGGTGTTCCATAGCAGTGCAGGAGGCACATGTGGGAAGCTATTGTGTATTTAAAATGTGGTGAAGCAAGTTGGTGAGGAGAATGTAGTTCAGAATACAACTAATAATGCAAAGACCTGCAACAACACGGAAAAATCTCATAAAGTTGAGGAAGCATTTGGTACGGAGCCCCTATTGCAGCTCATTACTCAAAGTCAAAAGTTTATGTAAGTGCGAGGATCTAAACAACCAAAGTAGGGCACACCTCAAAATTCACTAGAAGAGGTTGTTTTGATGCTCAAATATCCTCAAAATTGATCATCTCGACCTCAAAATGTATGGACATGAGAAAAAAATGAAATAGTGCCTCTTGTAATGCATTTTTGGACCATAAATTTCCAAGATTTTCAAGTGTTCATAGATCTGTTCAATCTGCACTATTTTTGAAGATTTAAATTTTATAATTAGAGATGAAAATATATTTTAAGGCTATCACAAAGATTCCAGTATTGAAACTACATTTCTCGACACTATTTGAAGGTATGCTTTACTTTGATTGTTTAGAGCCTCGGCTTTATACAAACCGTACCCTGACTTAAAAGACATTGGCAAGCTCAAGAGTGTGAAAGAGACCGTGCACCCAAGGACGACAATTGTAAAGTTTATATACAACTATTTCATGGTCCTAGCTTTGACAAGACAGCAAATAATGGGAGGCAGCTGATTAGGCTTGGCATCAGACACTTTGCTACCTCATTTTGCCCATGAAATCCATTTTGACATCGCATGCAATGGTTAACAAGAAGGTTGCCTTAGAAGAATGGTAAATGCCCCTATCTCAAGGATCCAGAATGCAAGAGAAGTGAAAGCACAATTAATAGTAGGGGCTTTTGGGGCACGAGCAAGCAAACAATGGCAGTCACAGCTCCTTTAGTGGTTGTGATAAAGATGAAAGACACCAATGTGAGGCTTGCTATGGGATTCCTGTGCAAAGAAATGCACATTGAAGCTCATGTTCATTCTCTACCGAAGTGGCGGTGATAATTGATCGCAGATAGAACACCTTATTACATTGAAGGTTTAAACATTCAAATATCTCATAGCCATAGCCATGCAGATTCTGTAAATTCAATTATGGTTTGTGATTGATGATGGTTCTTGTGATTAACCATGGGATCTTCTCTTATTGTTTGCGATGTCTAGGTTTCTTCTTCAACCCAGGTTTCAAATATGTTCCAGAGCAATCAAATCATCCAGGTCATGGAGGGGGTGCAAATTGCTCAGAGAGATTTATGTGAAGTGGAAGGAGACAGATTGAAGCTCGGAAGGATGCAAGAAACTTCTTCTTCTTCTTTTGTGAATAAAATTCCTTAACTTAATGCATTTGTGAGTAATGCAAGCTGCATTTCTAGACCACTAAAACCAGTTCTTTTTTCTCAGCTTTCTAGGTATATGGATGCACAAAGAAAATTTGCAACTACCCTTGCTAGGAAATCTCACACTCAGCAAGATCCAAGTAGCTCCCAAGTCCTTTCTTATAACTTCTTTTTCATTCTTTTAATGCCAATTAGGACCTTTCTTATGCATTCTCTTTCATTCTCTAAGTAAAGTGGTGGGAACACCATGGCACTAGAGCACCCCACTGACAAAGTATGGTGATCGAGGTGCGCAGCCAAACCTGTTCCGCTGCAAGGTGTAAGCTAAAGAAGAATATGTTGCAGTGGATGCACACCCTAAGGAATAACAAGTTGACTGCAACCAGGCTTCAAAAGCTGGTTCACATCCACTATAATTTGAACCATCAAAATTGGCAACTAAGGAGGTAAATTGTGAACTATGACCCAGTCAACTTGGATCATATATTTGTGGATGATCTAGCTGAAAAGTGCTTGTTTGAAGTGAAGGAGATACTCTTCTTAATAAGAGAGCATTAGAAGAAAGACGGCCCCATGAGCGAGAAGGAAGAAGCTGGTGGGAATCAGCAAGTAAATTTTGGAGGAGGTAAACAAGTTGAGGGAAGAACACAACTTAAGAAGCAAAGGGAAAATGTAGGAGATGATGATGATGATGATGATGATGATACTGATGTTGATGCTGATGACGGCGGCAACAATGAGGACATTGATAAAATGATGGTGGTAACACATGGGTACATAAGACCATGAACAAGCTGTTGGGTGGGATTTGGGCCTTTGGTTTAGGAGGGGGCATCCAACTCTCCCAACTGACAAACTCATTCGTAAACTAACAAGGATATACTCAGGATGATGATGATCGGGATCGTGGTGTTTGGGATGACTTTGAGCCTCCTTGTCATTCATATAGGCTTTAGATTGTGTTATAAAGGGCCGTAACCCGGTGCTGGTCCCGTCTACCCAGGGTCCCGGGAGGGGTGAGATGGAGACGGTCCTAACCTTTGGCTTTTTATGCACAAAGTGGCCGCTCTCAAGATTCAAACCCGCACTATTGCGCTGGCTACCCGGGCCTTTTACCGTCACACCAAGTGATGGCCCCTTAGGCTTTAGATTGTGTAATTTAACTTATTTATTTATAAATTTGAAATTTGATTGCTTCTGTGGAACTCATTATTGTTATCTACTCCATTTTGGATGGTGGAATAGATGTGTGGCACTCCGACAGATAAAAAACCCTTACTATCTATAGGATTTCAAGATTGTAGGCAAGATACATAATAATGTAATGAATTTTATCAAAAACTAACAATATTTATTCTTTAGATTTACTTATATTTCCATTTTTCATCCAGTGTTATACGGATCAGACCGGTGCTCGAATCGGCAAAGGGACTAGTCCACTTAAAACCAGTCCAACTGGTGGTCTGACTGGTCAAACCTTATATATAGAGAGTAATGATCCTATAGGACCCTCCTCCACCCATGTGTGTAGGACCCCAAAAGATCACCATTAAATTTGGGTGTTGGACTTGATTTTTCTAGAAAAGTTATCACATGGGTGTGGGACTTGACTTTTTTAGAGATCCGTGCCAAATTTAATGGTGATCATTTAGGGTCCTACACATATAGGTGGAGGAGGGTCCTATAAGATCATTTCTCATATATATATATATATATATAATATTAACAAATTGATTAAATCTCAAAAATTCAATAAAAAACAAATACTAGGTGAAACCATTGAAAACTTGGTTAAAAATAGGAGATTTTTAAAAAATACTCATGAAAATTTTAACTTGTACAAAAATTTAAGTATTGGAGGATTTTATTAGTAATTACATGATTCTAATTCCAAAATTAATATGACCAATGACATCATTATTTATAAAGTTGAAGTCTGTCAGTGAAGGAGAACCTGGTGCGCCTTTGTCCCCATTAATGAGAGAGAAAATAATTGGTACCAAAAAAAGGGAAAGAAAATTTTTAAATGAAAAGAAAAATGCAGCAAAAGAGTAAAGAATGCATGCCAAAATGGTAAGTAAGAAATTCTTTTCAACCATTTAGGATGATGATTTTTGCCAATATCTTAAGATCATTTGCATTAAAGATTTTGGAAATAAAATATTATGCACAATCAAAATAGATAAAAAAAAAAAAAAAGGCCAAAAAATAGCAAGACAGTTAGGGGGGAAAGATCGGGCCGATTCATCCAAGAAAACCAACAAAACCGGCAATCAAACCAGCTCAACCAGTCAACAACCGGTTTTGACTGGTTCTTAAGAAATACCGGTTTAGTGATCCTGTCAAACCAGATAGAGGTTCAGTCACCGGTTCGGCTGGTCGGACTGCCGGTTCCAGCCGCTTTTGATAACTATGTTTTTCTCCAAATTAAGGGATGACTCACTCGGACTTGGAGAATAACCTACCCCAGGCCAAGATTGAGTCTAGGTTTTCAAACACTAGTCTTTAGTAACTAATGACAGTATGACACAACTTCATATTTGCAAATGTGACTGCTTGTACAAAATTGGACACAGATCTTTCATTAATGAATAGTAAGATGGCAAAGGCTTCAAAAAGCAACACATGAATCAACACATCCAAACTAAAACAAACCAAACCCATATGCCTAGTAAATCTTGGTGGATCTTTGGTTAGTAAGTATCCCAAATCAACTACATTAGCTGCAACCAAGTGCCCACCTAACAATATCATATTTAAGAATCTTAGAAGTCTAGGAAGAAAGAACCCCCCCATGCATTGATAAGGATCCCTCAAATGGTAGAGAAGGAATCTTGACACTCTTTTGTTCATGAGGACTCCTTATCTCAAGATTATGAATAACCATACTCTGTCAAGTCAAAAGGAGGCTAGTCAATCGATAAGCATTCCCAATTAGGGTTGGAAGACATGATTCTTAAGTTTAGAGAAATAATCTTGAGTATAGAGCAAATGTCAAAGACCAATGCACTAATTGTGTTCGATAATGCAATGCATAGCATTGCCCAATTAATAAACTCTCAACAACAAAAATTTCCCAAATAAAGCAAATAGATGCATATCATGGCCACCCATGACCCTTTTGGCCAATCCTACAAGTATGACATAAATGTTTGGGACCTGCGCAAAAAACGTTTCATTTGCAAACATGCAGTTCAAGTTGACAAGAAACACGTTTCTAGCCCATGGAAATCGGCCCCCAAATCAATGAAAAGTGCAAGTGAGCATAATTCATATGCCATATAGGTATTTCACTTGAAACAAATTTCCTGTAAAATAGAAACAAACGCCAGTTTGTATCACCAATTGATTTGTGAACTGGAAATGAATGTCTTCCTAAGTTAAATTTCTAGTTGGCTTGGAACCAAGGCTATGCCAATAGAAATCCTACATCTTACATTTTATTGATGTTATATGCATGCCCACAATAATGCCATGCCCATGTCATGCCAATGTCGCACTCCAGTACACACTAACTCAAGAACCTTCCCTGAACCCATTTTTACATTGATGAATTTGCATCACCACACTGATTCCAGTATCAAATGACAAGTCCTCACAATGGTGAAAAGTCTCGAAGGTTTCCTCATCAAATAAGCCATAAAACATTACGTTCAATGAAATCTGGTCAGAACATTATAAGCTGATCAACTATTTGACAATGATCCCATCCTATGTTACATGGATTCTTCTGCTTGGATTGTTACATGGATTGTTACATCCTGTGTCAGACACACATCAACACACATAATTTACACAGATTCTCCTTCTTGTTTGTTAACATTGGCCACATGACTTGATCTTTTTGTTTAGAGGAGAAACATATGAACTTTGAAAAGAAATATAGACTCAGCAAATGAAGGCATAATTGAATTTTTTCGCTACTCATGATGAAAAAGAATATTAGTAAAGAATATAGGATTTTGTTGTCTTTTGTAAATATAGCTATGTCACCAATTCCTGTTCTTCATGGTATAAGGAAACCGACGCCCCTGTACCCATATCTGACACAGACACTGAAACTGACAAAAATATATGTGCATTTTACAAATCCCATCTAACATGACCTAAGTTAAAAGACGCATGAAACAACCATCCACCATTATTTCAGTAAGAACATTTCCCCAAGTCCTTGTGACTACAGAGTTGCACCCATTTCAAGTTAGTAATAAATTTTAATGTTTAATTGAAAGGCCACAACCCACAATAGAATATAAACACTGCATGTACCATTTCTTTGAGTCAATAAAGTTCCTGTTTGGATGCCATCAATGAGCTGCAGTATTGTTCTCCAGCAGTAATATCTGCAAATGATTGTGTGGAAAGAATACTTCGATAATTAAGAAGAAGCCTTAATCTCCCTTCCACCCTCAAGCACATAATGGGTTGGGGTAGGAATCCCAGAGCTTCAAGCACAATATCTCATAGTCCAAAACAAGCTTGTAGTTTCTCTCTGTGACTGTGTCCTCCAAGTTAAACAACATAATTGATTCCTGACTGAAAGGAAATGCTAAATACACCAAATCTAGTGATTGAAAGTGATATGATCTGGATAAAAGACTAATTAAGATTATTGGGGCATTTAGATTGAGAAACTGATATTCTTTCTTGAATTTACCAAGTAAGAAGATTGGGAATGCCATCAGAAAGGTGAAGTAATAATTCCACAACGACAAATAGAACCCTCATTTAGCAATCTAAAGATCTGACATAGACACCACAAAAGTCAACAAGTATCAAATATATGCACAACATTGGTCATCCCATTGTGCTTAAGTATTTTCCCTGCAAGTATGTTTTTAAAAAGAATTAAGCTCAGTCAATGACCATTAGGGTTTCATATTTTCTGCTATAAAACTGCCTTATAATCCAACATCAGTCAAGGCTGATCAAAACATTTACACTAATAAGTCATTCAACGACCAAAAAATAACAAACTTCCCAAAAGAAAATTTTCTAAGAGAGTAAAAAGGAAGCCCAAATGTGATACCCTTCCAATCAAATCACTGTACTCCTATCTCAAATAAAATCGTTTTTCCTTCTCCCTCTATTTGATATCTCACTAAACATTAAGAAAGATTCTTTAAACAAACACATAACCCACAATCAATGGATATAAAACAACTACAACAAATTCATCAAATCCCCAAAACCAACGTCAGATATCCTTCTATGTTTGCCCAATTGGACTTCCATCAATCAAATGAAGAAATTGGAAAGGAAAAAAACCCTAAAAATTGAAATAGCGATAAAAAAAACCATCTTAGAACAACAAAACCCAATAGAACGAGAGGGTCATAATGTTGCATCCCATCCACAAAAATATTCTAAATTGGAGAATGCAAGCCTACCAACACAAACTCAGAGAGAACAATCACATTCAGCTACATTGATAGATGAATCTTTATAAAATAAAAGATTTGTGAATTGAAGAAACAGAGAATGGTAAAAGACCTGATGAATAGGAGGGTACATAGAATTGGTACAAACAGGGCATTCCAAGAGCTCGTGTACACTTGTTGCAGGAGGTGAGGGGACATGGGTCTTGGAGAAAGCGGGCTCATCTTCATCGACCCCATCTGATGAGGAGATGCACTCTATATTATCCAAGTCCATGCATAAAAGACCCAATTGATCTTTGGGAAAAAACCCAATTGATCTATCGGGTCTCTACCCCCAGAGCGTGCGTTTCTCTCTGTATTGGTTCTCTCGTCCTTTGGCCTTCTCCTTTTCCCTGTTTCTCTCTCTAGATTTGGATGATGGTGAAGCTTATGACAATCACAAAACCTAAGAGCAATCACCACCTTTCGTATTATTTGCTTGGCATTCGGGTCAGAAGATTTGTCACCGTAAAATAGAGGAAAGGATAACGGATTTCAAAAGCAGAGAGAAGTTTCTTGAATACTTCACAGTGGAATTACATTTTTAGAGAGAGAAAATGGAGAGGCTCTAAATTTGAGCTATAATACAGGGAAATACCTATTTTTAATGTGGCGAGTGAGACTACACTGTAATTTATTGGATATCCGTAGAGAGAGAAATAAAGTAGAGAGGGAAAGTAGAGAGAGAAACAGATGGATACGAGTACATTGACGTATTCTGATAGAAATAGGGGAAGAAGTGGTTACAGCCAATAAAATATGGAAATGGGTAATAATATTGGCCAGTCGTTATTTGTTTTAGAGAGAGAGAGAGAGAGAGAGAGCAACATCCAAATTCAAATATTTAGTAGATTTATGAGTTTTTAATCATTTTCAGTGGAAAGCTTTGAGAATGAAATAAGTAATAAAATTGCATAGTAGTTGTACCTACAAAATGACAACCATGGGGTACTGCTTGCTTAATGAAAGGGGTGGTTTCCACTTTCTAAAATGCATATAAACCAATTTTCATGTTTTATAGAGAGGAGGGGGTCCAGGAATAATAATATATCCGCAAATCAAAATATTAGTAATAAATTGGCTTGATTTAAAAAATTGGGAGAAAAATATAGGGTCACAAATACAGATCGCCCAAAAATAATATTAGTTAATTGTGAATATTTCGAACTTGGGTCCAAAATCTGATTTGTAAAAATGACACAATATAAGATTATGATTTGCAGTTATTATATAGATTACATTAAAGTCATTGAACAATAATTCTATAGCCTTTCCTTGTGTCATTAGAGTAACATTGGATAATTTTTTGTTGAACCTCTCAATAAATCTAATAACAATGTTGTTGTCACAACACAAATCATATAATATATTTATTGGGATATAAAATGAAATAATAACAATGACAATGTTAAAAACAAAAACTGCATTAATAAATAACAATAACAATAAACCAAGGTATAGGATTATTGTTCATAAAAATAAAATAAAAAATACCTTGGGTATAGGATTGTAGTTAACTAAAATAGAACACAAACATCCAATATGTAAAATATTGATTCATTCAAAATATTATGTTATATATACCAATGAAATACAAATATAAAATTAATCAAACTTATCTACGCATGGAGAAAGCAACAAAATGCTTAAGCTAATTCAAATTTCACATTGAATTCCTAACTGCCTAAATCTTTAGTACTATTGAATCTCTTTGTTGCTTTTTACAAGGATGTTTCGGGTTTTAAGAAATTGAAAAAAATAAAATATATATATATATATATATATATATTCATTGAGTTACTCTTCTTCTAACTCTACCTATTATTATGAGATATGTGATTATTTGATATCTTATTTTTTTGAGAATATATTGTTTCTATTTTTCATTCACCTTTTCTAAGGGAACTTATTGGTGAAATTTTTAATAGAATGTTTTCTTAAATCAATATTCTTAATTTACTCCCACTATTAATTTGCTCATCTTTAAATCAAAATTCAACAATACTAAGTGAATGACTAAATAAATTTACAAGGAATAAGTTTTTTGAAGATCTTTTGAAAAACTCGGAGTTCTAAACAAATTTCTAAAAATTGGAGATTTAAAAAAAAAAAATTGTGTTTTAAACGGAAAGGAGGTCATAAACCGATCCCAAGCTGGAGAAAGGCGGATTGTGTTGGGTTAGCCCCCAATGCAAAACTTTGCCACATCTATTTCATTGTCGGCTCTAAATAGTGGGAATGAGGCTTGGATGATAGTGATGGTGATGATGATGAGGGGTTCCGAAAATTAAACTCATATCATCGGTATTTGGTTAAAAAAAAAAGAAACTATATTTTGTTGAAAATCAATAAAAATCAATATTTGTCTGATTTTGACAGTATGAGGTTAGCTTAGTTAAACAAAGTTGAGAAATATTTGTTGTAATATATTTAATCTTTTTTAACTATGACCGATTAGATCAAGTAGACAAAGTTATTTTAAAAAAATAATATATATATATATATATATATATATATAATATCTCCCATATTAATATTTTTATTTTTAAAAAAAATCACATTCAAATGATTCGACTAGTATTCGAAAGAATTTTGACTAAACTGAACCTCTCATAAGTTGAATACCCAGTCTGCTTCGGGTGTGTCGTATGGCCTATGTTAAAATAAACAATTGCGCCACCCACTATAAAAGTTTAAACTCTTGTTTTTTTTGGGTGAGTAAACTCTGGTTAGTTAAAGCAGCAGTGGGTGGATAGAGACCAGCTCGAAAGGGATTGAAGAGACAGAGAGGGAGACCGAGTCAAAACCTCTATGCATTCAATCTCAAGAGGCAAAGACTGAAGGAAGAGAGAGACACAAAGTTACAAGATAAAGACTGTCGATTGTTATTGTTTTGAAGAAACAAGCAATCTCTATTTTTTAAGAGAGAGAGCTCAATATCTAGAGAGAGAACGGTAATTTCAAGGGAGGAGAGAGATTCTCTTAAAATGGATAAAGGTTTGTTTGATTCTAAGCGTGTCATGCTGTCTTATAATTGTGCAAAGCTATGAAAAAATACGTTATAGGAAGAATATCGGGAATAACATATTAAAGGGCAGGTGCATGTCCTTTTAGGGATGGCTACATGTTGCGCTCGACCCGGACCCGAATCAAAATTAAAATATTTATGTATTGAACTATATTTTATAGTGTTATTGGACCCCCACCCGAACCAAAATTAAAATATTTATGTATTGAACTATATTTCGTAGTGTTATTGGACCCGGACCCTAATTTTTGGCATGTGTCACTGTATTTAGAAGTATGGACAAGGTGGCGTTCTTTTTAAGCACTTTCTAAATGCGTTTCATCTCTCAATAACCGCTGTGGGGATATAAGAGGAATCTGGTCCATGCAATTCATGAAGGGAAAGTTACACGTGATCTCACTCTCATATAAGTGTACGTGACCCCCTGGTCTAAGCCGTCAGATCTGCTTAGATGGCCGTTAGATCGGTGTAGATGACCCGGATGGCTTGAGTCACATCGTTACATGTTGGTTCTTGAGCGTCAGATATTGATCTGATAACAAAGAGTATTTTATTTTTTATCTTTATTTTATGAATTTTTTTATATCGGAATTTGAGGTATGCACATATCTGACAAGAGAGCGCACATGATGAGCAATTACTAGAATATACTTGAAATTTTTGGGGGGCATTTTGCTCATTTATTTTCATGAGATTTTTTTTTTTTCGTTTGGTAGGTTCACCCAATAGGAAGATGGGACCCCAAATTTTGTTTGAAAAAAAAATTATTTAAAAAAATAAAAAATCAAATAGTATTTTAGCATGGAAGGGGACATGACGATGCCTTTGCGTCGTTTAGTCTGGTTATAAGGTATCGAAACCGTAGACGAGATGAGTATTAGTTGGCTTGGAACTTTCTCCAAAAAAACAAAAATTATTGGTTGGCTTGGAGGAATGAAAGTAAAAAATGATTGAAAATGACTCAATTAACGATATATTTAATGGTTAAAAGGTATCAAATTGTACCTTTTATTGAAATCAATCAAGTTAATGTCAAAAGTAGACATAAAACTCTAACAATCATGCACACGGACCCGGTTTCCATGCAACCAATCCTGCATACGTAAAAATACAGACCTATTAATAAATTTATATTTGATACGGATTTTTGGACTTAGTTTGGACATGTAATCTATAGCATGGAGATCAAGAATATAAAAAAATAAGTAAATTTTAAAAATAAAAATAATAATTATAGTAAAAAAACATTTAGATATTTAGTTTCCATTGTTTTTAGATGAAGCACCTATTTACATCCATCTTTAAGATGGATGTTTTACACTCTTTGGATGGGCATACGTAGTCATGGGGTCCAGCCCACATGAAACAATTTCCCCCACACACATAGAGTACATTGTATTTATACGCTTTAAAAGTATGTTCATGTGGTACATAAAACCTATTTTAGCATATCCAAAATACAAGATACGGTAAGATGTTTAGATGCATATTCCACCCCCAAATCCAGATCAATATGCCCCATTTCAGCTAAAGGAAACATCATTATCCGAGTCTTATGCCTATTATTCAAAGTCAACTAGAAACATAGAATGAGCAAATACAAGCTTTTGAATAATCTTGCATTGGGGTACATGCCTCTTTTCTTTTTTTTCACTCCTCACAATAATAATACTATATATAAATATGATATTCATATTTAATATTTATTATTATTATTATTATTATTATTTACGATGGAATATCACAAACATTATTGGCATTATCATGATAATATTATAATATAATAATGCAATAAATTAATGGTAGCAATGGATCAGGCGGCATGACCCTGAAAAATTAGGGGCTGGCCTGAGGCCCAGAGCCAAGACAAGGCCAACCCGGTTTGGCCCCATATTTATTTTCTTTTGTTTTTCATTGCTAGGGCCTTTGGCTCTATCCGGCCGGGGCAGGCATAGGCCAACCCTATAAAAATTACGGCTGGCCATGCCCATTGCTAGCCCTGAAATACTATAATAGCAATATATTATAATTATATATTTATGATAATATTACATTATCATCTTAACATATTAATATCACATTATATCAATCTTAAAATATTGTGTTCTATTATAATATTTATTGACACTACAATATTATATTGATACTAATAAAAGGATATTATATTATTACATAATTATAATTGTGATATTATAATATTATACATATATTATATATATTGTTGTTATTATTATTGTCATCATCGTCATTATCTATTATTATCATAAATATTTATTATAAATATCATCAATACCATTCCAATCATATTATATTAATATTAAAATATAGTATATTTTTATTATAAAGCATTAATATTATACTATTATTTGAAAAAAAGCCATGATGATGATAATAATTAATATTATAGAATTATGAATCTTATAATTATATATTATTTTATTTAAAATATTTATTTATTAGAATAATGATAATTTAAATATTTGATTAAATATTGTAAATAGTAATATCACTAGTGAAATATATTTCATTCATCATGTTGCTCATAATTTAGTATTATTATTTACGAATTACGTATTTAGTATATAGTTTTATTCGAAAGCATGAGAGAGAGAGTGTGTGATGAATCGTAGATCAAAATTTGAGTACAAAATGTTCTACAAAATAAGATATGAACCGTTTTTG